GTGAAAACACGAAAAAACAAGGAAACTTAAGTGACTCAAGTTCATAATTACAAAATTGCCCTCGCGTGATTTACAAAATTGAAATAGCCTTTGCTATAGGGTTTTTCTTCATTGTGTATCAGATTTCAAATTGGAACCCTAATTTCTCCTCCTCCTCGATGGTATCTTCGTATTCATCTCTTGGTTGGCGTTCATCTCTTCATTGAAGTAGGGTGAGAATAACTTGAACATGTTTTTTTTTTGCTATTTATTCTTTTACGTATCTTAAAAAAAATTTCTCATTTCTTTTTAGTTTCGATTTCTAAAAGGGAAATTGAATATATGATATGGATTATATATAATTTGGGGATTGAATTTCTACAACTTCAGTTTCTCTTTTCTAATGTTGTTTCTTTTCTTCTTTTATTTTGTTTTATTTTTTTCTCCTGTTTCTGATGCATGTGTCCATTATTCTAGTGGTGATTGACGTTGGACTTGATAGGAAGGACTACAGTTTGATCCCCTACAACTGCAATTGGAAGGGGATTGAAACTATTTGATGTCAGAACTATCCCTTGAACCGGACTAGTCGGTCCATGGACCAGATATTGGTGGTAAAAAACTTAATTATTATTTTATTCCAGGTACTAATCTTGTAAATATATTTTAAACTTTTATTTGTCATTTTTTTGTTTCTTGTTTTAAATCAAATAAAAATGATGCTTATGCATTAAAATGTGGGTTTAAAGGTCCTCTTATCATCATTTAATTTTCATTGATTATATTACACTCTAATTAATATAACTACATGGTCAAGCATAGTTCCTTTGTCGATAAATCTGTACTAGTGTTTTGGAAAAACATTTAAAATTTTAAGGAATAAATATCACAATTTACTATAATACTGAGGGATACATGTTGTTTATGTTTTGATTTTAATGGATTATAATACACCTTATTTTCTTATTATCTTTTCTCATTCATTTTGAGGATTTTGCATTTGGGTTTGTACTTTGAAACTTTTAACAAATCACCATGATAATGACTATGTCATGATTTTACATTTCTTTCCATAACATTAAACAAAAAACTCAGAAGGACCATAACACAACCACAAAAGTTATTGCAATTTTAAACATTTTTATAATAAGAAATAATATAACACAAATATGATGAAATTTGATTGCATGTTTATACATAAAAAAACTATTTTACTCAAGCAACACAATATGTATTTTCGTTTGGATAAACTACACTTTCTAATACAGATGTTGTAGTGTTATTTCAACTGTGAGATTTTTGCAGGCAACACAAGTCCTTTGACATTGTGACTCCATTGAGCAATTGGGAACCCATTGAGTTTCCATGTCATCAAAATATTTATTATAATTTTTCTTTCTTTTATGAAGGTTATATAACTAGAAGTTCATTTTATAAAAGTATATTTTAGTTACAAGATTATTTGTTTTCTCCATTTTCTATATTGTATTGTGTGTTTGTGTTCATTATTTTTATCTTTTAACTATGGTCTTAATTGACTTAATTGACTTGTAAATTCTCTTTGTTGAGTATATTGTTATTGTTTTTGTCTTTATCTCAGGAAGACAAAAAGCTAATTTCATTTCTTAGAAAATCTTTCAAGTGGTGACCAAAATAGAAGGTACTTGTATCTAAACCACAAATATTATTTCCTTTTTTCACTATAATTAGAAATTATGCCGAAAGATTGAGCTACTATTTAGTCAATGTGTTAAAAAATATATATTTTATCTTATTTGATACACATGTGTGCTTTATTTTCAATTATGTTGGTCTAGGATATGTTTAGCTATAGTGTATTTATTTTCTTTGTCAACTTGTTGGCATCAAGACTAAGGGTTGGTAGATTATGCAATTTTTTTTCTTGTTTTTTTATGAGAAAAAATAATAGCTATTTAAGCGAGAATCACAAATCACTTTATTTTATCTTCAACAATAGTTTTAGGAACCTATGAACATGTCTTGATCTTGTCTTGCTTACATCTTTTTGTAAGAATGTTAGAGACAAAGCTAGTACGTTACATAGTTTTGTAAGGTTAGGTCTCGAGCTAATGCAATATTTTGTAAGATGTTTTAAGCTTTTCTTGCTTATCTCTCGAGTTTGTCAAATAATTTTTGAGAATATCTTAAGCTTCTCTTGCTTAACTCTTGAGCATGTATTAGTTGCCGATGTTGATGGGCTGAAAAGAGTAATGTATGAGTATGTCATAATATACTATATTAATATTTTTATTAACTACATGATTTTTATGATGATTTTTGTATATGTTTATTTCTTTATCAAGAAATTCTAATATTTTGAAATAAAAAACGTGAAGGACCTAAGTTTATTGAATTGTTAGATAAATATTTAAAGGTGCAATAGTTGTCGAGGTTTCTTTTTATAAGCCATATACATATTAATTACCTCGTAAATGATCAAAATCTCTATTATAACTATTGAGGTTGAAGGAGATGGAGATAGGTTTGAAGTTGGAGAAAAATAAATATTTCAAGGAAATTAGAGAAAATTGGGGCAATATTGGAACTTCAATGATCTATTGATCTTATCATCAATGGGTTGGGTCCAAGCCAACAAGAACAACCAGAGCACAACCCTATTTATGTGAAATATTGGATGAATTTATATCCTTGATAAAAAGATTACATTTATATTTTATGGTTGTGAGAATCCTTGCCAATAAAGAAAATACGACAAATTTACTCACTTCATGAATACCACCATTGCTGATATGACCATTGATTAACTATAAACTAGCTTAGAAAAGGTGAGACGCATGATGGATGATAGATTAATATGCTCGTTTGATGATAATATTACTCGTTAGAACTATTTTATTTTTATTAGGCTGATAGTAGTATGATATGCATCACACTGGAGTTATAACGTTGATACTTAATGAAAATGTCATTCTTGATGTGTTGGAATTATTGAATTTTGAGTTTTCATGATGTTTTTATCTCACATTTTATTTTCTTTTAGTTTTGTTGATGTATTATGTTATTTATCATTATTGAATTTATATACTCTTACTAAGTTGTCATGTTGCTTAACTATCCAAATATTTTATATTTTGTGTAACAGAATGAGTGATAAATCATATCAGAATTTAGATGAAAGTAATACTATTTCTAAAATGGAAATTAAAGTCCAATACAACACTAGACAACGATATTGCAACACTTGTGGTTTTTTTTTTGTCGCAAACCATGTGTTGACAACCATTGTCAAAGGAAAGAAAATTACCTTAATTTTCCCAGAATACAAATTGGATAGATAATTCAAAAATGACAATAGATTTTTTGAGCAACTTAGACGAAGAAACAAGTCTTTTTGGCATTTGGCATGCAAGTTAACCAATAATTATGGTTTGACACCTATTAAATACGTTGGAGTATAAGAAAGAGTTGTGACATTCTTATATATGATAAACTAGCATTTCTAGTATAGAAATGTCCAAAAGTTGCTTCTAACATTCAGGTTAGACTATCCATAAATATTTCAATACAGTTTTAGAAGTCAAATGCAAGTTAGGGAAAAACATCATTAGACCTCTTTATTATGTTGACTCTTCTTCTCCATATTTTAAATATAATCATCTATATTAGTCTCATTTTAAAAATTGCATATAAAAAATAGTTGAAACACATATTAAAATACACGTCCTAACAAATAAACAAAAATATTTTTCTAATAAGAACACCCATACACCTATAAATGTGATGAAAGTGCAATTTCAACACCTATATATGTGATGGAAGTGTTGATTTTAATATATGTGTTTACTATATATGTGTTTACTTTTACTCTATGTAGATGGAAAATCTATGTTCATGATGCAAAAATTCTTAAGAATCATCTTTGTAAATCAAATATACATTTTCCTTATCTTTTTAAAGGTTAGTTTTACATAACTTTAATATATATAATAATAATAATAATAATAATAATAACAACTATTTTTATATTCTTGTCTAATATGTTTTGATTATGATAAATAAATACAACATTACTTATGATTCATCTCTAAATATTGCGAACAAATTTTGACTTCCCCTATAAATGACATTGCTTGAAATGGTCAATTACATAAATTTATATCCATGTTAGAAATTATCTCTATTATTATTTAATTTTTTCATAAAACCTGAAAAGAATATTTTTTGACCAAAACCATATCATATAGATAAGGTAAACAATACATACAAGGTTAGAATTTGATGTCAAATTTTTATTTTTGAATAATATTCTTATTCTGGTTTCAATTCCAAACCAAAATATTTTTTTAAGTTGGTTCAAAATATATATTTACCGCCAAAAAATCCATATAAAAATTCAAGAAGCTTAGTTTAAATTTAAAAATTTGGGCTTGTTACCCTACTACAAATAACACGGTGTCAATGACAAGGTTCTGCAAAAGAATATTTTCTTGACCAAAACCATATCATATAGATAAGATAAACAATTCATATAAGATTAGAATTTGATGTCAACTTTTTATTTTTGAATAATATTCTTATTCTGATTTCAATTTCAAACCAATATATTTTTTTAAGTTGGTTCAAAATATATATTTGCCGCCAAAAAATTCATATAAAAATTCAAGAAGTTGGACTTAAATTTAAAAATTTGGGCCTATTACATTATTACAAATAACTCGGTGGTGTCAAGGACAAGGTTCCACAGTATTGGTTTTATATTTATCTTTATTTTTTCTTTATTATTTATTTATAGGAATAATAATAATAACAATAATAATAATGAAAGTATCAACAGCTTCAATCAGTGTTCGAAGTTCAGAAATTTGAAACGGGATCGACTTCGACGCTCATTGAATTGGTGAACTCTATTTTCCATTTTTCTTTTTCTTCTTCTTTTTCGTTCTTCACATTTTCAATTTCTCATAGTAAAAGTAACATTTTCTAGATAAAACCCTAATTCTCGTTGTTGCAGATGCTGAAGCTCTTATTGTGAGGAAAGTATGGAGAGTACTGGGAGAAGGATCACGGTGAGTCCTCGACCTTGCTGCGGCCGGAGAGTGATTGCGAAGAAGACTGGTCGTGGTGGAACCGGTGATGGTTTTGTCAACAGTGTTAAGAAGCTTCAGAGACGTGAAATCAGCTCCAAACGTGATCGGGCTTTTAGTATGACCGATGCTCAAGAGCGATTCAGGAATATTAGCTTGCAGGTTCGGGTTTGAGTTTCTCTGTTATGAGGTTTTGTTTGGTAGGTTAGGGTTGAATTGAAGTGTGGAGGGTTTTGTTTTGGTCGTTTGGATCCAGCTTGAAGTTGTGTTTTAGAGCTGTGTGATATCGTTATCGTGATTTTGAATATGGTTTTGCTTGTTATTGTTATCTTAACTTAGATTTGAGCTAAGTAGCTTTTGATTGTTGATGGATGGAATGGAAAATTCTTTCTTCTGTAGTGGTTACTGGTTATTGGGTATAGAATTTTGTAGACCACTAGTAATTGAGGATTGAGAAGCAGCGTGGTGTGGAAATGTGATTTTTCGTAGTGTGTTGTTCTTTTTAGGTTACGATATAGTCATTGCAGAGGAGTTGAGAGAGTATGGATTGGGGGTTTTGATTTTCTGTATCACTGTTTTTTTTTTGGCAGTGGAATGATTTCCTGTATTACTGCAATATTGTTAATTCGTGAAGTGTGATTTTTGTTTGTGGCTGTAGCAATTGCAATTCCCCACTTTGAGTTTAGTCAGCATTTGAAATTATTGCTTTTAGTTGTGTATTGAAATCATTGTAAATCATTGATGTTGAAGTCTTCTTTGTTCCTCCCATTTTGATTAGTGAGAGAGACATGTATTTTGCTTTAAGTATGCTCATTTCCCCTCACTTGTTGTGCCATGTCTGATGTGTTTATTTATAGGAAGAATATGATACACATGATCCCAAAGGTCCTTCGGCTTTGATATTGTCATTTTTGAGAAAAAGATCGAAGATTATTGAGATTGTGGCAGCACAAGATATTGTTTTTGCTCTTGCACAATCTGGTCTTTGTGCAGCATTTAGCCGAGGTAGAATAATTTACTACTAGTACTAATATAATATGCCTTCTAGTTCTGTTTGTAACTTATAATTGATATATTATTTGTGTTGCTTGTTTAAACTGTCTTATGCAGAAACCAATCAAAGGATATGCTTTTTAAATGTCAGTCCAGATGAAGTTATAAGGAGTCTATTTTATAACAAAAATAATGACTCACTTATCACAGTTTCTGTCTATGCATCAGACAGTTACAGTTCCTTGAAATGCAGAAGCACAAGGATTGAGTAAGTATAGTTCTCTGTTGTTTTATAACTCCTTCTCTTACCCCCTTCACTCAAGGAATAAACACTGAGAAAACCAGATCATTCAAAATGCGGAATAGTAAATAGAAAAGCTGTTCATAACATTATTTGCATTTCCAGATTTTATTTGTTGTGTTCTATGCTAAAACTATTATGCTGTTCAGATACATTAGGAGGGGTAAGCATGATTCTGGCTTTCCTCTTTTTGAATCCGAGTCTCTGAAGTGGCCAGGGTTTGTAGAGTTTGATGATGTAAATGGGAAGGTACTTACATACTCTGCTCTGGATAGGTAAATATTTCTGACCTGAAAATTTTTTGTCTGGGTATAATTACATAAGATATCAAAGTTTATTGATAGTGATATCTTCTCTTTTTTATCCTGTAGTGTGTACAAGGTATTTGACTTGAAAAACTATTCAATGTTGTACTCCATTTCTGATAAAAATGTCCAGGAGATTAAGATCAGGTAACTTTTCTCGATGTGGATTTTCTTTCACTAGTACAAAACACTTCCGCAGACATGCTTTATAGTTGGTCTTGCAAGAATTCTGAAATTATATCGTATAATAATTTTCAATTCATTTTTTAATAATATCAATAGTCTTCTTCTTTTACCCTCTTGGAGTGGTCATGCTTTACTCACACCACTTTGATCTTGTTTGATTATTTCTTGTGACTAGTCCGGGGATCATGTTGTTGATTTTTGCTAAAGCAAGTAGCCATGTCCCACTTAAAATCCTTTCAATAGAAGATGGTACTGTTTTGAAATCGTTCAACCATCTCCTTTATCGGAATAAGAAGGTGGATTTTATCGAACAGTTCAACGAAAAGCTACTTGTCAAGCAAGAAAATGAAAACCTTCAAATTCTTGATGTAAGTAATTTCCCTCTTCCTTGCATTATATACTTGGTTCTACATTCAGATATCTCACTTCATTTACATTTTAGGTGCGGAATTTTGAGCTGAGAGAAGTTAGCAGAAGTGAATTTATGACACCTTCTGCATTTATCTTTCTATATGAGAACCAACTATTCTTAACATTTCGAAACCGGACTGTGGCTGTGTGGAACTTCCGTGGAGAGCTTGTAACTTCTTTTGAGGACCATCTCTTGTGGCATCCTGACTGCAATACAAACAACATATACATAACCAGTGACCAGGATCTTATCATATCCTACTGCAAAGCTGATTCAGATGATTCGTTATCTGAAGGAAGTGGTACTTTCACTATTTTATTCCTTCTGTCCCTTTGTAATAATGCACCTTGTGTGAGACAATTGAAGAATTTTGTTTTTAAACTTCTGCTTATATCACCAGATCTGAAATTTGTTGTAGGTCCGTTTTGGATTAACTTTTGCCATGTGGGCTTTTCAATTAAGATATGCATTTGATTGTTAACTAATGAAAAAAAAACGCTTAAAGGTTTGTAGGTTGGTTATGAAGAAAGAATATGAGAGCTTTTAAAAATGTTGAATTGCAGAAACTCATTTCAACTTATTTTATTTAGTTATTAGAAGATTCATAGTGCTTGTAGGATTATTTCAATGTTATTTTCCTGCCAGTATATATTGAAAAGTTTATCCAAACTGACTCGGCTATTTTTTCCAGGTTTTGACTTGATTTGTTTAAAAATAAAACAGAATAGCAAATCACAATAATTAAATAGTTTGCAATGTGTTTATCTATTGCTGTAAGGAGCTCCTATCTTCCAAACTGCATTACTAACAGGCTCTGCTTCTTTTATGCAGCGGGTTCTATTAATGTCAGCAACATTTTATCTGGCAAGTGTCTTGCTAAAATAAGAGCAAGCAATAGTTCTTCAAAGGATGACAAGTGCAGTTGCTGTGACAGTTCTTCAAGTGAAAGTTGTAATTCAAAAAAGCGAAAGCATGTCTCCGCTGTCTCCAAAATGAGAAGCACGGTTGCTGAAGCCTTGGAAGATATTACTGCTCTCTTCTATGACGAAGATCGCAATGAGATCTATACAGGAAATAGGCATGGTCTAGTTCATGTTTGGTCTAACTGATGCGTTGTGTTAACAGTATTGCTGCCCTGTGTTGATCATCTTGATCTGCTGAAAGAACATTCTGAAACTGTAACACCATTTAGTGTTTTGTATCATTCAGGTTTTTTTGTCTTTCTGTAGTTGGTAACAAATCTGTATGAAGTGTTATACTGGTTAAATCACCAGATGTTGCTTCTGTTGTAATCTATCGTTACATTAACGGGGCTGCTTGGATGGACCATAAAATGTTGTGAACAGTGCCAATTGTCAATTCATCCTTTTATTTGTCTCTTTTTTGCTTTGTGGCGTGTGGTGAAAATTCGTTTGCACTTTGCACATGGTATGGTTTGTAACTTGTATGGGCAGCGATGCCAAATACGCGGCAAAGGTACAAAAGCAAACAATAATCAGAATGGTAGCTTTACGATTTGCCAATACTCAAGTATCTGTACTCCAATCAATTCTCTACTCAAGTGGTGTATTCTTTTCTATCTTGCCTTTCCCATCGTGGCTTCTTTTCTCCCAGCTGTCATGCTCTATTTCACCAGGCTTCCTGATTAAGGATTAAATAATATGATTATGCATGCATGTTCACATTCGTTAAATGCAATTTATAATGAATTTTATTACAGTTGACGTTGAAGTGAAATGACTTATATTAAAAATATGTATTCTTTTGTTTCATTATAAGTATCTATTTTACAATCTTTGTATGTCTCAATTCATTTTTAATTTTGGAATAACAATGAATCAATTGTTATTTTTTATTAAAATATTATTTTATTTTAATTCACCTAACTACTCTACTGGCTATTGTTAATAATAATATAACTTTTTAAAAATGATTTTATGGTATTATATATATTTGATAAAAAAATTTACAAAGGTTTTTTAAAAAGATTACCCGATTGAGGGACTAAGAACCATAGTTTGAGACTTTGAGGCATCTTATATGGCGATTACAAAGAGTAAGAAAGTATTGCTCAATTCTTTCCCCGCTTCTTTCATTGGATTACATTTCATAAATACAAATATCCCACCGATTATCAAGCACATGCAACATCGCAAAGAAAACCAGGACTTTGATCCTCTCATACAAGTAACCAAAACTCAAAAGAAACATAATTTGTGTTATTGATATAAAAATCTAAGAAATATTAGATAAGAAATCCCAAAGTAAAGTAAATATCTTTATAGATGATATAATTCTCATTCTGCGCAAGGTCCAGAACACAAAAATATTGAATGTCTTCTTGCTTGCTATCATCCTTAATATAATTCCTTTTCTTAATGTAATTATTTTTCTATTTGGCCCTTTATTGTCTACAACCCAAACATGGATGCCGAACACTATTTTTTTTTTTTTGTCCTTAAGGTTGAAATTAATATATGTTATTAAAAATAACCTCAGCACACAATAAAAAGATATGATAATGAAGAATCTTCTTGCCTCAAACCTCTCTTGGAGATAAACCATAAATAGAGTCTACCATTGAGATAGAGAAGAAAACTTTGTTCACAAAATTCATAATAGTCTTAATAAAGGTTGTAGGGAAAATTATTTTCTAAAAAAAAAAACCAATCAATTTTGAAATAGAACTTAGCCATATTGAGTTTAAGACTATCATAACATTTAGATTTATTATTCTTGTTGTTAAGAGTGAAAAATTTTATAAGCAAGAATGAAATTATCAAATATAAGTCTTCTCGAAGTAAAAACACTTTGGAAAAGTTAAACAATTGACCTAGGGTAAGGGTTTATTTTGTTCACTTGTCACAATTTTATAGGACAAAACTTAGAAGGAAAAATATAACTTTTCCATGAAAGGATTCCTTTCAAATTGAAAATATTTAGGGCAGGATTAGTGATGTCATTATCAATAATATCTTCATAGTTTTGATAGAAAAAAAAAGTTAAGAGTTTATCAGATCCACATAAAGTTGTACCCTTTATTTGAGAGATGGATTCTCTTCATAGTAATGAAATGTCTTTGAAGGTTGTCTTTAGCTTTGAAGTCACTTGTGTTAGCATTATTGGAAGTAAATATATCAGAAAAATGACTTATGAAGATCCTAAAAATGTTATCTTCATTATTACATGTAGTTCCATCAAAGTCTCTTATGGTAGTTGATCTGAACCGATTAAAAAGGGATCGCTGGCAGTCACGTGTCTTCGACTTGCTGCCTGCTCACCGGTGTTGAGGAGGAGGAGGGAGTGTACCTGCAAGACACTCTGATGCCAAAGTAAGAAATTGGGCAGAGTGAGAGCAAATACAAAAAGATGGTAAGAAGTGAATTACCTGACCCTCTTGTGAAAGAGGGTATTTATAGAGAGACTCCAGCGTTGGGCCAACAGTCACTTGTATTGGACCGGATTGTCAGACCCAACCTAGGTGACTGCTAGGGCTTACGTGGCGTAGTGAAGATCAGGACGTAGTCTTCGCCCTGTCCAACTGTCCCGTGATCTCCGGAAAGTAGGTTTGACCTGCTCTTTCGGAGGTGGGCAGTTGGTCGGTGACGTGTCCCCGCGGAGGGGAGCACGTGGAGAACGTGTGAATGACACATTGTCCTTCCCGACAGGGGAGCGGGTTCTGCCCGCGGAGGGGCAGTGTCTGGTCGATGGGAGAGTCCTGTGCTCGACACAGAAGGGGCAGGTTCTGCCTGCGGAGGGGCATTACCTATCCACCGGGGACCTTGTGCTCGAAGGCTGCGGCCCAAGCTGGACTGGGCTTGGCAGAATATTATTGGGCTGGGCCTGCCTGGCCAAGCCGGGGCCCAGGCCAGAACAGGAGCCCCCCAAGTCGTAGCTCCGAGGGAGGGAGCGAGGACTTGATGACGTTGTGCCGGGGAGGAGAGATTTTCCCGTGGAGGAAGAGCTCTCCAGCTCGTGTTTAGCGGGGACGCAAGTACGCGAGTCCTTCCTCATCGTCGGGTGTCTGGGCTTGAGGACATGTGCCGGCGGGGAGACATGAGGGGATGCGGCTGTCAGCCTTCGTCACGTCTCATGCGCTGGGTGGCTGCTAGGGCGGCTACCCTAGGGTACTCGAGTGCCTAGCGATGCTTCGAGTTCCGTGCTGGGGTATAAGTAAGCGAGTCCCCACTCATTCTCCTTTTTCCGCCCTCTTGCTCTCAAACTCTCTGCCTTGCCGCCTTGTCACCGTCTGATCTCTCCGTCGCAGCAGCCGCCACGTACTCCGTCGTAGATCGAAATATAGTAAGTTTCTTTTCTCCTTTCTTTCGTTTTTCCCGTTTGTTTTAGGACTGTGGTTGGGGCATGTTGAATGCCCCGAGGAGAGGTGAGGATCTCCGCCGTTGTAGGGGGATTTTCTAGGGTTTTACCGTGAGCGTTTCGAGGAGAAATGCCAATTCCGATGCATACCTCGGGGACAGATGCTTGTTCCGATGAATGCCCCAGGGAAAAACGCTTATTCCGATGAACGTCCCGAGGAGCGACATCTATTCTGATGAATGCCTCGGGGAGAGCGTGTAGGTTAGGTTATGCCGGTTCCCCGGGGAGGTGGTAGGTTTTGGGTAGAGCCACCGGAGACGATTCTCGGTTTGTCCTCGTCGCCCTTTCACTTGACTTGCAGTGGAAGGGTGAATTTAATCTTTGGCATCGAATTCACCGTTACCTTCTGTTTTTCAGGTGTTAAATGACTACGTTTGTCCCAGGGACAATGGTCGAGGACAATGAACCGGGCGTTCCACACTTCGACGAGCACGCCCTTCCCCTCGAGGAGTGGGTGGCCGATGAGCCTCTGTCCACGCCTTCCTGTTTCGCTTCTGACCCGACGGGAGCCCACGCCACCGTGGAGGACCGGAGAGAAGGTGACCCCCAGAATTGGCAAATTTATCGTCCTCGGGCGGGCCACCGAATCTGCTCGAAGTACGGGAGGATGCGATTCCCGATGTACGAATTCTATTTTAAAGAGGCCAGGCTCAGGCTGCCATTCTCAGACTTCCACCTAGGCCTCTTCGATTGGCTGAGGTTGGCCCCCTTGCAGCTGCATCCGAATGCCTTGGCTTTTATTCAGGCATTCGAGGTCGTGTGCCATTATCTCCAGGTCGGCATCACGCTGCCGCTATTCTTCCGCATCTTCCATCTGCAGCGGCAGACGGTGAATGGCCGACACGACTGGGTGTCGTTCAAGCAACTGGACAGGCTTTTCAAAACGTACATGGACTCTGTCCTGGACTTCAAGGGTCGTTTCTTCATTGTTATCCCGATCATGCATGCGGGGGTTGACTTTTTGTATTCAGAAGGGGAGCGGATCGTGGATGGCCAGCGGGAGGCCGTCATGCTGCCGCGGGTGCATGTGGAATGGTCCTCGGAACATTTCTCTCGGGGGACAAATCGATACATAGTGCGCGCGGGGTCGCTTGACGAATAGGACATGGCCAGCTATTCGAAGATAGTCTCGTTCGTGTGCAGCCTGCTGCCGTCAAAGTTGGTGACCCCCGACGGCCGTTACATACTCAACAACCAGGGGAATGTCCGTGAGACAGCGAGGTTGATCAATACAAAGGCTCTGCTCGAGTGTTCCTCGGAGGCGGAGGTTCTTCGCTATCTAGGTGGTGGACGCCTCTCCCCTCTCACGATCTGGTACTCTTTATCTGTTATTGACTCATTTTCTTTGTTTTGCAGGGAACATGTCTTCCGTCGAGGACGCAGGTTGCCCAACTGGTCGGGCAGGCTTCCGCTGATCAGGATGGCCGGGGGTCATCGTCTCCTCCCAGAAGTTAGTCTCCCACATCCCAGGGGGCCCCGAAGAGGCCCAAGGTCTAGGAGGTGGAGATCATGGTCGACTTATCAGCGGATTCTACCTAGGAAGGCTACTCCATCGCGCCCTGCCATCAGCACCCTGGTTATTTTCATGGGGCCAGGTCGCCCAGTATTCCCGTCGGGGAGGCGAAGGCGGTCTTAAGCGCGGACTGGGCTACGCAGAGGCAGGTCCTGACGGAGGATTTGGCTGCCCTGATGTGGACTTTTACTACGGCGATGGTTATGAGCGAGGAAAGCT